TGAGACTGATGAATCCTAAATGGTGTTTGAACAAGAGGACCTGTTCAAAATACATTGAAAGGGGGATTAGTAAATTATTGACTAGTCTTGCAGATTGATCAGTTATAGTTTGATTGGTTTTCTTAGATGGAAAAAAATGTTTTTGTCAGTTCTAAGAAGGAACTAAGTGAGGGCCAGACATTGACTTTCAGGTCATCATTGCCTCAGGGACTTTGATTTGCTAGGGTTGTATAATGGTTGGAAAAAACATTGGTCATGTCACCTCTTCTCTCTAGGAGTTCAGCAACCCCCCGTCTTTTGCAGTAGATGCTTTCATCGAGGAGAAAAGAGGGAAGAAAGGGAGAAGGGAAAGAAGGGAATTAGAGATCTTTCATCTAAGGCACATGGAGGACAGGGAATGATTTGGGACAGCCAGCATGGCTTCACTAAAGGCAAGCCCTGCCTGACCCTAGTGGCCTTCTGTGATGGAGTGACTACATCAGTGGACAAGAGAAGGGCTACAGATGTCATTTATTTGAGCTTCTGTAAAGCCTTTGCCACAGTCTCCCACAATATCCTTTGCTCTGAATCGGAGAGAGATGGATTTGATGAGTGGACCGTTAGATGGGTAAGAAATTGATTGGACAGTCGCATCCAGAGGGTAATGGTTCAGTGACTCAAGAGTCCTGATGGGCATCGGTGACAAGTGCTGTCCCTCCGGGGGCTGTAGTGGAACAGTGTTAATATCTTCACTGATGACATAGATGAAAGGGTTGAGTGCACTCTCAGCTGATTTGCAGATGACACCAAGCTGAGTGGTGCTGTTGACACACCTGATGGATGGGATGCCATCCAGAGGGATGTGGGCAAGAAGTGGGCCTGTAGGAATATCACGAGGTTTAATAAGACCAAGTGCAAGGTGCTGCACCTGTTTTGGGGTGCCAGGCTGGGGGATGAATAGACTGAGAGCAGCTTTATTGAGAAGGTCTTGCGGGTGCTGTTGGATGAGAGGCTGTACATGAGCTGGTAATGTGCACTTGTAGCCCAGAAAGTCACATGTGTGCTGGGCTGCATCAAAAGAAAATGACAGGTCAGTGAGGTGAAGTGGTAGAGTTGCTCTTCATGTGAGAGAGCAACTGGAATGTACTGAGCTCTGCCCAGGGAGAGACAAATGAGTTGAGAGCTTATGGGTAAGAATTAAGGGACAGGCTAATATTGGTGACACTGTTGTTGGTGTTTACTGCAGGCCACCTGCTCAGGAGGAGGAAGTTGATGAGACTTTCTATGGGCAGCTGGAGATAGCTTCATGGTCACAAGCCTTTGGTCTCCTGGGGGACTTCAACCACCCTGGTATTTGCTGGAGAGACAACACGGCTCAGCACACACAGTCCAGGAAGTTCCCACAGATCATTGAAGATAACTTCTTGATGAAAGTGGTGGAAGAGCCAATGAAAAGAGGTGTGTTGCTGAACGTTGCACTAACAAACCAGGAGGGACTGGTTGAAGATGGGAAGGTTGGAGGCAGCCTTGGAGGCAGATGGTGGAACTCAGGGTCCTGCGTGAAGGAAGCAAAGCAGTAGGCAGGACTAGAACCCTGAGCTTCCAGAGAGCTATCTTCAACCTCTTCAAAGACCTGCTTAGAGGAATCCCACAGGATAGGGCTCTAAAAAAAAAGGGATTCAAAAAAGCTGGTCAATATTCAGCATCACTTCCTCCAAACTCAAGACCAATGTATACCTATGATCAAGAAATAAAGCAAGATGGCAGGAGACCTGCATGGATGAGCAGAGAGCTTCTAGCAAATCTCAAAACAGAAGAAAGAAATTTATGGGATGTGGAAAAAAAAACCATATGGGAGGACTATATGGAATATCAGCAGTTTATGCAGGGTTGTGACGAGGAAAGCCAAGGCCCCTTGGAATTGAGTCTGTCAAGGGATATCAAGGACAGAAAGAAGGGCTTGTACAAGTATGTCAACAGCAAAAAGAAGATTAAGAAGATTAAGGAAAGTATGGAGCCGCTGCTGAATCAGATGGATGTCCTGGTGATGGAAGACCCAGAGAAGGTGGAATTACTGAATGCCTTCTTTGCTTCAGTCTTTACTGCTGAGGCCATCCCTTAGGAATCCCAGACCTTGGTTGTAAGAGAGAAAGGCTAGAGAAAGGAATACTCCCCTTTGGTTGTAAAAGGTTGGGTTAGAGATCAGCTAGGGAGACTTAACACCCATAAATCCATGGGCCCTGATGGGATGCACCCATGGGTGCTGAGGGAGCTGGCAGATGTTGTTTCTAAGTCACTCTGCATCATCTTTGAAAAGTCATGGAGAAAGGAGAGGTACATGATGACTGAAGAAAAGCCAGTGTTACTCCCATCTTCAAAAAGGCAAGAAGAATAATTTGGGAAACTAGCAGCCAGTCAGGCTAACCTCGGTCCCTGGAAAGGTGATGGAACAGATCATTCTGGAGGTCATCACCAAGCATGTAAAAGAAAAGGTTATCGGGAGTAGTCAGCAGGGATACACCAAGGAGAAATCATGCTTGATTTCTGTGATGGCATGGCAGGATGGATGACGAGGCAAGAGCAGTGGATATTGTCTACCTTGACTTGTCTACCTTTTGACACTGTCTCCCATGACATCCTCTCTCTTATGAGAAGAGACTGTGGGAACTGGGCCTGTTTAGAGAAGACTGAAAGGGGTAAATATCTCAGGGGCAGGTGTCAAGAGGATGGTTGTGGAGTTTTCCTCTCCAGAGTGTTCAAAACCTGTCTCTAGATGTGTTCCTGTGCAACTCCAGAGGTCTCTTCCAATCATAGCAATCCTGTGATTCTGTGAACTGGGTTTGTTCAGCCTGGAAAAGGCTTTGGGGTGATGTACTTGGAGCCTTCCATTACCTGAATGGAACCTACAAGAAAGATGGAGAGGGACTGTGTACAAGAGGTGGAGTGGCACGACAAGAGGGAATAGGTTCAAACTGAGAGTAGATTGAGATTGGGTATTAGGGGGAAATTCTTTACTCAGAGGATAAGGATGCACTGGAGCAGCTTGCCAAGGGAATTTGTGGATGCCCATCCCTGGCACTGTTTAAAGCCAGATTTGATGGAGTTCTGAGCAACCTGCTCTAGTGAAAGGTGTTCTGCTCACAGCAGGGGTGTTGGGACTAGCTGATCTTTAAGATCCCTTCCAACACAGGCCATTCTGTGAATCTATAATTTTGTGATCCTCAGCATGAAAGGTCTTTCCTTTTCTGTGCCTCTAGGTTTAACGTGCGTTAGAAGGGTCAGATGAGAATGCAACCTCTCTTCTTTACACTAGGATTTTCTGTTGTCATGTGTTGGGTGATGTACCTGGAGGTGATGCTCAAGAGAAGGAACTCTTTGAAATCAGAGTTGCAGGGGGTGCTAATGTGGGAGTGTGATGCCAGATCCAGAATGTAACTGCTCTTGGCACTCTTCTCTTACATTTCAATGTTTTTTGTGAAGTTGAGCTTGAATATTTCAAAACATATCTGCTATGATAAAACAGCTTAGCTATGAAGGTATGAACTACTAGTAGAAGCTGTGTATTACCTTGCTTTTCTTTAAAGCTTTTATGGGCTAAGGGAAAGAGAAATCAGACTAGTATGACTGCTTTTATTTTAAGTTGATTTAAGTTTAAATTAGCTCATTAACTGAGTAAGAAGGGCTAAAAATATGAAAGTGAAGACTATATTTTCTACAACAGCAAGAAAAGCCAATATTAACAAGGGAGGGGGAGAGGGGAGGCACTGTTGCAGTAGTTCAGAAGAGACTGTCGGGGATTGCCTTTTGTTTTAGCTGGTTAACTAGTGATTTCTATGTGTTCATCAAATTTTTACTTTCTTCACAGCTTTAGTAGGCAGTATAACTGTTTTCCCTGGGTTTATATTTTGAACCTTAATGGAAATAATTTAAATGAAAAATCAGATTTTTTTTTGCTAAACATAATTTGCTTTAACAATTTTCCATTTTAAAAAACCCAGTGTCTAAGAATTGCTCCTCCTCAATTCCTACTGGTTGAACATAAGTAAGGAAAGTTCAAAAGCAGTGTTGTGGGTTGTTTTGTTTTTTTTTTCCATTCAGTTTACTTTTATGTTCTGCTTGTAATTTAAAGTTTACTTGAAAGGTTTTAATAGTTTCCTGCTGTGATCGCGCTTTTTCTGAGTGGAAAAACAGATGTGTATATTCAAAAGACAGCCTTGAAAATGTAATTGTAACTTACAAATAAGAGAATGGGTGTATGAACCCGTTATCCAAGGGTAAGATAGGGTGTGAGCTCACGGTACACCTAATGTAACTGCCACGTGCAAATGTTTTCCTGTAATAAAAATAAGGTGTTTTATCCTTTCCAGTGCAGCTGATCAAATATATCCCTGTTTTCCTGTACCCTCAAGCATCTTTATTGTGCACTCTTATCCAGAAGTACAGTAATGCACTCAAGGCCAAAATTTAAAAGGTGAAGATAAGTTTATGTTGGATAATAGGCAGCATTGCAGTGAGAACAATTCAGTACAGATACTTGGATTTTGTAGCTACCATCTTCAAGAGTAAAGCTCAGAATGCTGTTTTTTTAATTACAAAAGAGGTGATGTAAAAATGAAATGTGCTGTGGCTGGTAGCTGAGGCATAGGAGTCTGTTTAACAGAATGGTTTTCCTGGGTTATGTAGCTTGTGTGTAGCAATCTGGCACAGTTTGAAATGGAAGATTCAGGAATAGCCCACTTGAGTTTGATCTATTCGCAAAACCTTAAATACTTGAAGAAGTTTCTTTTTAACAATCTGGCAAAATTAAACCCAACTGCTTACATGTATAAACAAAAAATTATTGTTTTCTACTTTTAATACATAAATATATCAATGATTTGCAGTGTAGCTCAAAATCCAGTATTTACCTTCAGCTGTAAGTCTTTGAGAACACACTTCTCTTATCTTGTATTTCCACTTGGTTCAAAGACTTTAATTAATTTGTAACTGCTAAACTCTCTCTTCTTTGTGTCTTGTTCTAGGATATTTTTGTATTTAGACATGAACTTGCTCTCCTAAGAATATCTGTCTTCATGGGTCTAATAATATTAGGTGGAATAAGTCGACTCTTTTACACTCAGCTAATTGGTATTTTCACTGTAAGTATCTAATTTTAGAAGTATATATTAATTTTATTTTCAGTACAGTTAATAAAAACAGAAAAACAGATTGCATCTAAGGGAAGAATAGAAAAACACTTGCACTGTGAGGTACCTGTTTGATATGTGGTCTGTCAAGACTCTTGACACCAAGAAGTCTTAAGAAGCTTTCTAACAAACAAGTGTCTAATAAGTCTATCAAGTAAATTTCCTGATTTGTATTAGTAAAGTAAACCCATACATTGTCATGGAATTTTACAGTGTACAAGGTATGTATTTGCGGGTTTTGATTTTTGGTTTTATTTTAAACTCTCATGTATCTGGTCCGAATTATGTGACAGTGAGGCCCACTAATAAGTCATACATTCTGAGAATACAGAATTCTTGTTAAGTATTTTAATAAATATGCTTATGCTCATATCTCTTTAATTGTTTAACTTGGGAATATAACCATGTGTGATTTACGGTCCAAATGCATACTCTATATTTAAAGGTACCAAAAAAAAAATCTTTTGCATGGAAAAATTTTCCAGATAGATGAATTTGGTAATGTAATAAATATGTACAAGAAATTGGCTTTTTTTGGTGTAACATCCTGTTCTGTACATTAGAAGTTAATAACTTCCAGCAAATGTTTTAAAGTTGTCTTGTGAAGCCATATAAATGTTTAAAATACAGCAGTGTTGAACAGAAAGAGGACATTAGTTGGATCCATACCTGTCTGAAAAGGTGTATGGTCTTGCCTGCTGAACTTTTTTTTTGAAGACAGTAAAGTACAAGATGACAGCATCTTTCTGACTACAACTGATGGAGATCTGCCTGAGATTTCATTTGAAATTATGAAGGTTTGCACAGTATTAACCTTTGTACAAAATGGAAAACCTTCCAACTGTATTGTGTAATTCATTTGTATAGAATAAAGGACAAAAATTAGTTTAGTTTTTCCTTCTGTTAGGTAAGACAATAATATTGCTTTTTTTGTTTTATCGTATTACCTTTGCATAAGTTTACTGGCTTTTGCTCTTTCTGTGACTGTAGCTATGCTGTGTATTATTTTTGCCATTCTCCAGCTGCTCTACCAGATCGATTTCTGCACCTTCTCTCAACCCCCAGGTCAACAGATTTACATTTCTGCACCTTTACTCTGTGCCTGATTTCTGTTCCAGGGTCTTGCTGACAGGTTCTATCCTCCTTGTTTAAATGCAGACATACCACCTTTGTGTCTGCATCCTCTAGAGTTGGGATGTGCTTCTGAATTACTGCTATGCCTTGTTGGTTATCTAGCTGAAGTGGTACAGACCTCTGAATTCTGCTCACTGTCACTCCCGGTAATGGGAGAGATGGAAGCTCAGGAAGCCTGATTGTTCTGATACTGAAATATGGATGTCTTTTTGATTTCTGTTAAATGGATATATATGAGGAGAAACAAAAAGCGCATGTGATCACTACTACACTAAATCACAAAAATGATACAGAAGAAAACAAGGAACAAACCCTAAGTCTGTCATTCTGCTCTGTGGGCTGCCAGAAGCTAGACTTAATTTTTGCAGTGACCATCGGCATCCTTTCAGGTACTATTACTATGCATGAAATAAAAACATCTTAGACTGAAGCTGTTTCTATAGATATACCTGAAACCTGGAACGTTTCTGTTCTGACACAGGATACCAACTGTACTGCCTCTGCAACAGGCATGAATACCAATAAGAACCCAGTTGTTACCTCACCGTCCTGAGCCTTAACACCATCAGGCTATTGCCACCACTGCATGCTTATAAACTGCCCTTTCTTTCTATGTTAGTGGTCTCATATACTGTGAGGTACATCCTATTCACTTACAGAGCTGACAGCTACACTGGAACAGGTGTGGGCTAACAGCATTTTCAAGTCCAGCTCCCTTTTTTTTTTGTGCACAAATCATAATTGTTAGGATTGCTGAGCTGCAGTATGCCTGGATAGTCTCTTTTGTTGTCTTTGCCAATGTGAAACAAACATACTGCAGTAATTGTGGATATGGATGGTCTATGAGAGACAGATGCTGGAAAGTACAGAACTGCATTAAGACCTCTCACTGCACTCTACCTGCCCCCAGTAGCAGAAGGACTATTGTGCTTGCCTCATATGGACAAGTTTTTAGGCTTGTTGGGATTGCTGGGGAAGTAGAAATCCAGTACTGGGATCTCCAAATACTAATTCATTCACACCATGTGGATGGCGTTGCCTTGATTCATTGAAGAATGTAGGTTGTGTAGTCCATCCCCTACTTAAAGTGTTTCCATACCAGCAACGCAGTCGTCTTTTCCCTTTTCATTCCTTTCCTCATGATTCTAGAATTGGCAGGAATAAACAATACAGTCACTTTGAGGAAATCTGCTTGGCAAGAACTAGCCAGACTTCAAACGAACAAAGCAAGTCTGTTTGTTGAGGTTATGCTTAGTCTGCAAGTAGTGTCAGAAAATCTTTCTGTACAAATGGCTTTTGATTGCCAGCATTGTAGTATGGGGACTTGCTTCCTCCATAAGCAGTAACAGCTTTGGCTAGCCAGTGGAAAAGGCAGAGGAGAGGGCAGCAGGTGAGTGAGTAGTTTCTTTGCAGGCTCCCGAAAGACATGCCTGTGATGCATAAAATAGGGAAACAAAGAGTCTGGGTATATACCCACCCACAGTGCTGAGCTCGCTGTGTGGAAGACATACAAGTCCTGTAGAAGCAGTGAACCATGGTCACTAAGAAGCAGTGATGTTTCTACTGTGTACTGTGCTGAAGTTACTGTTCAGCATGTAACCTTCCTGTATAAATTCCTGTGTCTGAAATGAGGTCTATTTAAAATACTAAATTAATTATGAAATTAAACTTAGTATAAGGTGCAGATCAAAATTTAACAGAACACAGTAATTGAAGTGTAATAGTGCAGTTGAGGTTAATTTGAAAGAGACTCAAAATGCTTGAAGGCATGTATATGCACAGTTAAAGTATTAATGTTTGTTAAAGTATTCATTACTCCATTGCTGCTCTTGAGAGCATTAATTTCATTAGTTGCTGAAGCTGCCCAGAGGCGTGTGCAAGAGAGCTGGACAAGAGCATGGGCCTTTTGAAAAATGCTAAGCAACTTTTACTTGTGCTTGTACAGGAGAACAAGTAATACACATTTTCCTGGTTCATCCTCTATGCCTGTGTTTGCAGTTCAGCATAAACCAAGATTAATTCCACAGCTCCTGGATAAAAGGTATTTTTTAATAGGAGCAACAATCAACGTTGCAGCTCTGTGATCTAAAATTTGGTGAATACAAATGGTTGCTAAATAAGTCCAGCAAGTTCAGGTTTGTTGGATTTTAATATTACTATTTACTTGTATTTCAAATGCTGCAAAAATCGTATTTTTGGGAAAAAACCCCTAAGATTTATCAAACTTTAACCCGTTTGTAACAAAAATTCTCCGTAAGATAAACTTGCATGACCATCATTATATAATTTTCAAGAAATCAAGCCAATAGTTTTTGTTTCATCTTAGTAATATAAAGGCTGACTTCTTCCAGGAGTATAGGACATGCATATTTAAAAAAATCCCAAATCCTTGATCTTTGTATTTACAGAAGTTTATCCTTTTGCCACTTCAAGAAGATACATACAGTTTAATGTGTAGAGTAAATTTGCATTATGTGACTTTTGTGTACAGCATTTTTGGAAACAGAGTTACTCCTTACTAGAATCATGCTAAGTGGTAGATTGACAAGGTGTAAGAAGTAGCAGAAGGTTTGCATAGTTCCTTTAATAGGCATTTTCACCTCTTGGATACATTTTTTCTGAAGTCAAGAAATGTCCAGCTGAATGCATAATGAAAATGCATAATCCTGCAGCACGTTTTTCTGGAGTAGGACAGTAGCTAAAACAAAAAAGCAAAGCAGCATATTACCAAGTGCAGGTGAAGTTATTCAGCTGTGTGTGCTGGCACTTTGCAAAATTGAGGTGATTGTGCAGTTGCCTGATCTTCTGTGCCTATCATTGCATAGCTGTCATTGGTTATAACAGTAGATTAATTATTCAAACGTTCTTTAAGAAAAATACACATGTATTCTGCTCTTATCCTGTTTCATGTGTGTTCAGCAGATATTCGGGTGCTTGGAAAAAACACTCTCTGGTAAAAGTGAAAACTTTGTAACTTGTGTACTAAAATTGACTCTTACAGAGAGAATGTTCTTAAAGCTGTGCTGCTTGAGAAGGGGATGAATAGGCCAAGTAACCTACCAGACAGTAATTTCTCAGCATACTTTTACCACCTCTCTTATTGTGGTATCACTGTTAGGGTATCATTAGCTTAAGGCTATTCATAACTCATTTGGAGGTCCAGGAAGCCAAAGAGCAAAGGAGGTGACTTCCTACAATGAGAGAAGAACAGCTGGTTGGCAAAAACTGTCCTTAGAGGAACTTTTGACATGAATTGTTCCGATGAAGAGGGGAGCAGCTGAGGTGGCCTCTGTATACGGGATTAGTGCTTTCTCCCTAGAAACTAGCATATGTGAAACACACTTCTAGCAGAAGCGGCACATGGTTCTTTTCATCCTCCTTCTCCAGTTGCTTTCCCCAAGCTCTCTGTGCCTCTGATTTTGTCATCATCCTGAATTTTAACACTTCTTCCAGTATCTGTCTGACATTTGGATACTTTGAAAATAGAAGTATATAAGTTCCTCTAATTCATAAGCCTCTGAAATAGGGAGAAATTTAAAATTCTGCTTTAGGAAGTCTAGTATCCTAAGATGATACTTTTCTTAAAATCTCTGTATAACAATTAGTCTTCTTACTTATAAGTTTCAAGTTTCTAGAGAACTGGATAGAAGAATCTGTTTTACCTGTGAAGAAAACACTATCTGATGTAATTTCCAAAATGATCATGCATATATGTTAAAGGCCTGCTTGCCTTCTGTGCTTGTTAGTTGCTTTACCAGTCCTCTATTTCCTGTCATTACTTGTTGAATTTTATATTCCTTAACTGGAAATGAGCCTGT